TTACAGCTTTAAAACCTGTTCAATCTGAATATAAAGAAAAACCATAACAAATTATCAAAGGCCGAATTTCTTGGCTAGCATAATTTGGGCTAAATATTACACTTGGTCTCAGCTTGGGAGGGCCTTAATAGGGTGGGATGCATATTCTCGTATCAACCTAAAAGTATTTCTACCTTGAATGGACAAACCAACTTAGTCTCTGCTTGAAAGTATTTAGAACTTGTAATTTAAGTAACCAATATCGACTAAATTCACAATTAATACAAATAATCCATCAATATTTAGGATAACCCGCATATATAAATCACTTAGATGGGACAGCATTTCATATAAAATTATCTATTAATCTTTTCAGAACCTGAAGGCCATCAGCCCGAATTCACAAAGAAGCCCCCAGCTGTGATCAATCTAAAAGCTGGCCAAACTTTTGCTGTAGAGGCTGAAGTAAACGGGCAACCTGAACCAAACGTATCTTGGTACAAAAGTGGTAAGTCTGCACCGTGACATTTTTAACGACTAAATAAACCGATTGGAAAAAATCCCGAATATTCGTTGTAGCCCAAGGGTTCGTTTAACAGTGGAGCCCATAGAATGTATGGCCCGCGTTTTTTATGTTTCTCTCTTGCTTTAGAATCTGCATTGTTAATAAAAACATACCTATTTATTAAGAAAATAGCTTTTTCTACAGCAAATAAGCCCGATGGGCTGCATGATTTCAAGATAAGGGAGGAATGACCCTCAGCATAACTTCAAATAGCTTCATGGCAGTTGCAAAGTAGCTAGGAAAGGCCTAATATTAGTTATTCTCAGGTCTGAAAGATAAAATTTACTTCAATTCTTGGATAAGTTGCAATGTAGTTCACAATTAATTGACTTCAACTTCTTAGCTTTTTACGCTACGAATAAATCTCACTTGAACTGGGCATCCAAAATATATGCGTGTGGCAGGTAACGTAATATCTCTTTAGGTCGTCTAATATTTGTACAGATATTCTCTTATCGGGACTCTTTCATTTGTTCCGCAATACCTGCCCATTTGTTTACACTTTAAAGTCAAAATAGCAAATCCTCTTTTTACCTTTTCTTGACTTTCAGAAACGTTACATTTGTTTTGATTGAAATCTATTTGCTTTCCTTCTTCTCCAAGGTCTTGAGATCGTGCCAGATCATCGACATCGCTTTGAACGGGGACCGGAAGTCGGTCAGGTCCGTCTGGTACTTTGTCCGTGTGACCTGGAGGATGAGGGCGACTATCAAGTGGTTGCCACCAACACCTTCGGCATCGCTAAAGTATACATTCGTATCACCGTATCATCGCCACAGCGATCACCATCTCCACTGGCACCGACCCATTTGGTCCCGGTGTTCCATCCTCCAGCTCAAGAAGTTCCTGCTCAACCTGCATTTCAAGCCATGTAAGCAACGCATTCCTTGAAATGACCGAGCCGATACTATTGAATATTCTATATTTAGTTGACTGTACCATCCGTCTTTATCGTATCATAGGCAAAGTCTTTTGCTTTGACCATTGTTTTTCAAATAAATCCTATAAGCTAATCTCCAGGTTTTAATCCAGCCGTGGATCATATGAGTCAATCCTAAAGCCAGACTTAATTCAGATCACAGCCGCAAGCAATTAACCTAGTTTCAAGAAAGACCATGAACCATCAAGAGCTTTTCAGCACTATCTTCATTATACAATGAGTGTTTTGAAGTATAGTATTTTGTCCTGAATCAGGCAATTTGTTCTTTGGTACTTTTTTGCGTAAGCATGGGTTAATTAACAGTAAAAATATACAGGATATATGAAAAATAAGTAGATTTAAAAGAATTCATAAGTGATGAATAGTGATGTATCTATGAGATGAATTTTTATTTCGTAAAAAACGTTGGTTGGAAGGAATGAGTGTATTTGCCTAACCGGAAGCTGAAAGATGAGTGAAGGCTGTTGGATTGTGCGAGAAAGTCCTACGCTCACCGCTCTGCGACCCAGATGCACCTGAGCTGAGCTTTCGTCTGTCATGTAATAGACATCGTCAGAGCGATAATGCATACTTTAAAAAACACGCGCTAAATAGAATAAGCCAAAAAGAGAAGTGTCGCCCGGAGCAATCACACCCATCCATGAATTTGTTGGCTATTTCATATCTATTCAGCTTACTTCCATTTCGAGTGAAAGTGTTCGGTGAAGAAATTCGAAGATCAATTACACCAGAAGATGACGGAACCAACTGTCGATTGGCTTCACTGCAACATTCTGTTTCCAAGGCATTCTGCTTCGCTTCCAGTGAAAACGTGCTAAGCTTTCATATGTCTTATGACGGACATCATTAGAGCAGAGTATCATCCTTACAACCATAAACATGCTAACGAGTCAATAAAACTCACCGACTCATCCATAAATGCTCTATATTAACCCTAAATCTAGGCTCCTCGATAAGGCATAAAGTGATTTGATTAGTTCAAGTCATATTTCAACCTATAAGCATATAAGCAGGACTCTCTGTGTGTATGTGTTTGTGGCTGTATGTTTCGTATATGTACGAAAGCATCAGTAACGGCTTATAGTAATTAGAACAAAAAATGTAACGTCTACTCTCTGCCAGCAAGGTTTGATGATCACTATCACGCCCTCTCTGTATCTATTTTAAACATCACTCCGATTGCATGTGTCCGAATGCGTCACGTATTATGGAAATCACAGTGCCGCCTTGGCGTCTTACGTGAATATAAAACTCAGTTATCAGATTCTTGTAAAGGTGTTTAGTTAAGAAAGATGCATTCTTTTAATAATAAAAATTATAACTGATGGTGGTTAAAAGTAAATTGTCCCATATACAAAAGCTGAACTGTCGAGGGGTCGTTCTCGGTTTTTTCAGAAAAAATGGGCTTGAAATTTGGGTGGCTGGAGAAGCAAATGTCTTGCATAAATAAACCCTAGTGAATTCAATCCATTCGTTGGAATTATTCTTCAAACGCAAACATGTCAATGACTTCTGCAGAAGAAGATTGGTCCACGCTA